GCACAGGCTCCTGTGTACATGAGTGGGTGGGCATGTGTAGCGTGCACACACGTGTGAGTGCATGATGGTGTGAAGGATCGGATCAGGGTGTGAGGGGACCTACCCAAGTGTGTGCATGTGGATACAGATGTGTGTGAATGGGTGTGTAAGGGCATGAGGGAGGATGTAAGGATGTGAGTGTCACAGGGTTTAAGGCCAGGAAAAACTGCCTGATCTGTAAAGCACAGGCCAGCACCCGCACACCAAACCCAGCACCTGCAATGAGACCGAAGCCCACTGGAGAATAGACTGTTCTGTGCCACAGGCAGAGAAGAGGAGGGACCAGAGTGCGCTAGGGCCTGAGGCCGATGAAGTGAGAAATACCCAGGTGATCTTGGCAACTGACCTGCGCCCACACACTGCAGAGGAAGGCAGATCCCCCCCCCCCAATCTGACCTGGGTAAAATTCCTTCCTGACCCCACATGGGCCACCAGCCAGAGCCTGAGCCTGAGCATATGAGCAAGAATGAGCCAGCCAACACCTGGGCAGAGAATGCTCAGTGCCACCTCAGAGTCCTGGCCCTCCCCACCCAACGTCCCATCTCCAGCCATGTGCAAGACTGTGTGGCATATTCAACAGTGCATGTGTCACGCTGTGACTGTAACGGTGCGTGTGCATGCTGCAGATGGTGAATGTCGGGGCAGGTGCAAGCCCATGTAGGAGCATGTTGTACATGTACCAGAATGTCCTGGTGTGTGTGTGTGTGTGTGTGTGTGAGAGAGAGAGAGTGATACCCCAGTATATCACCATCTTCTGTTGTGTATGTGTTTGGCATGTGTTGGCATGTTGGGAATGTGTGTGTGGCGTGTGACCATATATGACTGTGTCACTGTGTGTTTTTGTCCATAGGCTAGACGGGTGCACATACATGAGAGGTATGTACTGTGTGTGTGTCTGCATGGGGGCGTGAAGGTAGGAGTGTGCATGCAAGGGAGGGGCTGTGTAAAGTGAGTGTGTGAGGGAGGGTCGTGTGGCATGTGTGCAAGTGAGGACCTGTGCGGTGAGTGTCAGGAGAGCACAGGTGCTGGGGGGCCTGGTAGCATTGGCTGTCTGTGCTCACACAGCTGTGAGCAGTTGCCAGTAAGGAGGCTGGGGTTGGACCCCGGCGGGGGCTGGGTGTGATTTACAGCCTCCCAACTGCCAGAAGCTGCTGCATAATAGAGCTGGGGTCTCCTGGTTAGTGTGGGGGGAGGGTGGCTGGGATAGCAGGGCTGCAGGTCGGGATTGAGGGGCACCAGCTTCATCCTTCCTTCTTGTGGTGCCAGTGGACACTGTCCTCCCCCCATGGCTTTCTCTCCACAGGGCCCCCATCCTGCCTGGGTGTTGGGGGGAGGCTGTAGTGTTGGAACAATATGGCTGCCACCGTCATGCCTGAGGGATCCTTGGAGCTGGTCTCCATGGTGACGGAAGGAGAGCAGACAGCATCCTAATGTGCCAGGCCTAGGCCTATGGAGGGGGGTGTTTGGGCCTGGCCTCAGCCTCCATACAGCTCCACCCCCATCCTTCTCTCCCCTCCCCAGTCCTCCCCCCCCACTGCAGCCCCTACATCTGCACAGAAGTCTGCTGTACCCCCCACCCACCTTCCCAAGCTCCCCCCAACTGTGGCCATTAACTCTTCACCCACTATAGCCCTCACAGCCCCAAGCTCCTGCTCCACACAGAGACTCCCCCTGGCAGTGTGTCCCCAGCGTGCAGTCTGGGGGAGTCAAGACTCTGGCTGCAGTCGGCTCCCAGTAGCCAGGTGGCCAGTTGGGATGTCACTGAGCAGCACAGCCTACTGGGAGTCAGGCTGATACCCAGCAGACTCGTTTCACATCGCCCTGTGGAAGATGGTGAAGGGATAGCGGCTTCGTATCACCCACACTGCCGCCAGCCACCCCCACCTTGGATCGGAGCTGGCGCTTTCCAGAGGGGTAAGGCCCCATGTCCCATTTTCCACCCCCTGAGCCAGGGGTTAGGGCATGAGGATTCCTGGATTCTGTCCCTGGCTCTGGGAGGGTAGTGGGGTGTAGTGGTTAGAACAGGACTGCATGAGTTTGGAGCCAGGACTCCTGTCTTTGAACATCAAACTCCCCTGCCCCCGCAGGGTATAAGCCCTACAGGCTGCAAGTGGGTGCCTTTGGGCTCGGTGGGGGTGGTGATGGGTAAGGGGGAGCATGTGTCTTGGGGTGGGGCATCTGGGTGTGGGGCAGAGAGGGCTCCATGCCATTTGCATGAAATTGCCTGATGTCTTGGAAGCAGCTGCCTGGCGCGGGGAGAGGAGCGCACACGATGATTAATGATGCGGGAGGCGCTGGGGTGGGCGGGAGAGGAATATTAATGCCTCCTGCTCCTGCCTGCCCATCTTCATCCTCGCCTGCAGGGGAGGGTTGGGGAGGAGCAGAAGGAGGGGCTGTTTGGGGAATTAGCTACCCTCTGCTCTTGGCCTCCCCTCACAGTGGCTCCATACAGTTCCTTCCATGGGAGACAGAGGGTTGGGACACTTGGCCTGGTGGATCCCCTGTGATCTATCCCCCCACACCCCAATCTATCAGGAGGCAGCATTGGGGCTGGGCAGAGTGGATTCCAGCAATTGATCCCAGGAGCTCTACCCCCCACACCCTGATCTCTCAGAAGGGAGCACGGAGCCTAGTCTGGGTGAGTCCCAGTGGTTGATCCCAAGGATCTATCCCCCCCCCAATCTGTCAGAAGACAGTGCAGGTCCTGGACTGGGTGAATCCCAGCAGTTGATCCCAGGAGATCTATCCCCCACACCCTGATCTCTCAGGAGGGAGCATGGAGGATGGGGTGGGTGGATTCCAGCAGGGGATCCCAGGGGATCTTTATCCCCTGTTTGATCTATTGGAATGGAAGATAGCATAGGAGCTGGACCCAGCTGTCGATCCCAGGGGATCTACCCTCCCAATACACTCTGTCGTTAGGCAGTGAGGAGGCTAGGTTTGTTGGATCCTAGCAGCTGATCCAGGAGATCTGTTGATTGCCACACACTGATCTATCCGGAGGTAGCACAGGGTCTGGGCTGGGTGGATCCCAGCAGCTGGACCCCAGGGATCTATCCCCACGATCTGTCAGAAGGCAGTGCAGGTCCTGGGCTGGGTGGATCTCAGCAGCTGATCCCCACACCCCAGTCTTCTACATCACTGCAGACTGACATATGCAGCATGTGAAGCTGAGTTGCAGTGATCAGGCCAGGAACTGAGGTGTGAGCAAGGGAATCTGCCCAAATGCCATGAGACGCCCCGTTTCCTTTCCAACCCCCCACCCCCATAAGTAGCCAAAATCAGATGGGAAACCAGAGTGGCCATAGCAACGGGCATCTGAACCCTTGTTAGGAGTTAGGGTGGGGCCCCCAATCCTGTCATGCAAGAGGGAGGGGAGTGGGGTGCAGTGGGGTAGAGGAGGCAAGGCTCGGAGCCAGGACTCCTGGGTTTAGTTCCTGACTCTGGGAGCCGAGTGGGGTCTGGTGGGTGGGGTGGGGGTGGGATTCAAGACTCCTGGGATTCACGGGGTCGCTGTCTACTCTAGCAGCCCCTGCTTCCCCAAGGAGGGACGGGCGATGGCCTGTATTGGGGGAAGCTCATGTGGGGTTGTACCTGGCCTTACCCCTTGTTTTGAGTCTCCCACCCTGCAGGGCAAGCGACGACTCTGATGTATTGTAACTGCCCCCCCCCACACTGCCATGCATGAGGGTCACATCTTTTCAGTCGGTGTTTCCTTTCTCTGTGCGCTGGGGGGTGCCAGGCTGGGGTGGCAAAATTGCCCAGGAGCAGCAGGTGTTGGAGGTGCAAGGGTGCTTGTCAGCAAAGCTGTTGGCGTTGAGTGACTCTCCGCTGGTGCCGGCACAGCCACCTGTGTTCCTGTGAGGTGATTGATTTGCCCTGGGGTGAGCACGAGGGGAACCAGCCCAAGTGAGTGCCATGGGGTTACTCTGGGTCTAGGCTGGGTGGGCGAGAGGGGAACCTGCACTGGTGGCTGCAGCGGAGTTACTCCTGATTTTCAGTGTGTGTGTGTGTGTGTGTGTGTGTGTGTGTGTGTGTGTGTGTCGTCTCGTGT